AGCAGACTGGTTTGCATTCACACTCTCTGCCTCTGGCAACGCAGCAGAAGGGTTTCCCACCCCTGCATCCTCAGCCACCACAGGGCCCTGCCTTTCTGCCCCACCACCCCCATCCACAGGTTCCCCAGCAAGCTGTCTTTCCATCCCTGCACCCCCATTCACAGGTGCACCAGCAGGCAGTCTTCCCACCCCTGTACCTCCATCCGCAGGTGCCCCAGCAGGCTGCCGTTCTGCCCCTGTACCCTCAGCCTCAGCCCATGCCTCAGCAGACATATTACCAATTCAAGCAGCTTCTGGAAGCCCAATGGCCCAAACGGCCACTCTACCAGCTCCAGGCCAAGCAGCCACGCTACCAGCCTTTCATGTCACACTACCAATCCCGATTGCCAAGCTACAGTCCCGAGGTGCCACTGTACCAGGCCAAGAAGCTTCAGCACCCCCTGCAGATCAGATACCAACCTTAATGATTTCATAGCTTCATGTCGGTAAGCCACCCACACTGGCACATCAGAAAACGAAATGGGCAAAATCAATTAATTTATTGTGGGTTTCTTTCAGGCACATCATCCTTGTTGAGGGGGAGCAGGGTATGTATAAAAACAATAAGGCAATCTAAGTTTCAGACACTACATTAAATCTATGCCTTTTATTTTAGGAACTGCAGTGTGGAACCTGCTGGACTACTGGACTGACCTTTCAAATGAACATTTAGTTTGTGTTTTATACTCTTGACTACTAAATGTTTTGTATGTGCTGATCCGTTTGATGCCAAGTTTCTGAGCACCTTTGAATGTTTTAAACATGAGTCTTGAGGTCTGGTTTAGCTCATTCGTTTTGTTTTTGTTGTTTTTTTTGTTAAGCCTGTGCAAAAAATAATCCACATCAACCAACACGCCAGTGCTTTTCCCAGACTTGTAGAAATTCTTTTGTAAATGGTGAAAAGCTGATACCAAACAAGTCTCTGCATTCTTTGAGAAATTAATGTTGCGTCTTAACTGTTGTGACACATGGGGATTCATGGTACCCACATCCAGTCTCTTTAAGATTTTCTCTATTTTATGATTGTGGTTAATGATTCTTAGAACTTATTTAAATGTATAAAGGTCTTAAATTAGTGCACTTGTTTAGTATAAGCTTGGTGGGGTAGGTGGGACCAGGTGCCAAATTTCCCCATGAA